GGATACGAGGCGCCCAGTAGAGTAAGATGCAGGCACCATGCCAGAGGGGCTTATAGCTGCATAGAAAGAATGACAATTGTGGAGCAGAAGACATAAATCACTGAATATGGGCAAGATGCAGAGATAGCCAGAGGCATGGCTGGTGCCTCTCAGCATGTCAGGAAAGATTTTTTTGGCAGAGGCAGTATCAGTATCTGAACAGCACTTGGAGAGGAGCGGAGTTTACCTACAGAAAGGATGGGGATTGGGGGCCACTTTCTAGGCAGGGTTTTCTAACTATGAATTCAAAGGCAAACATAGCTCAGTTGGTGTCTCTACAGAAATGGTTTATAAACTTCAAAGATTACATCAGATTAGCTTGGCTGGGGGAGATGAGAAGGGCAGAAATCGGTATCTTTTAATAAACGCTTCCAATATTTCTGATGCCTGCAGCCTGTCCTCATCCTGAGTCCCTGCTCCCCAGACACTCTGGACCGGGACAAAGCCCAAGGTTGGGAGGCGAGAGGGAGTGAGAGGGAGCAGGGCACACAACTGGAAACTCAAACCAGAATTTCCACGATGATGCCCATCCCAAATATTTGTAACTAAAGTGGCTGGCTTCTGCGTGAGGGAGGAACCAAGGTGGATTTATGTATTTGAAATCTGCTCCATCTTTAATTCCTGCCTTGCAAATAAGTATTAAAACACAACTACTTACCAATTTTTGTTTTTTTACCGACCAGCCTTTTCCCTGGGGTTGTCTGCCAGGAATGAAAGGAATGTGGAACTCAATGTTCCCACCAGCTTCTCATCCCCCTGCCCCTCTCACCCACCTGGGATCATCTCCCTGCCCTTCTTCCCCCGCCCTCTCCTTGGCAAATTCTAACGGCTCCTGAAGCCCCATTCAGAAAGATGTTTTGTGGGTCCAGGAGATAATGTTTATAATGACTTTTTCCCCAAACGATTGTAAGAAATTTCGAAATATATAAAGGAGTAAAAATCACCTATGATCTTATCGTTTACATATTTCTAATGTTCTCTATTCATTGTTGTTATTTATAGAATTGGGAACAGACTTTTTACAAGGCATGACTACAAGACAGAATGTATAATAGATACATCGACTTTTTTCCACACCTCGAAACCAACCACTTGATAGTTTCAATCATGTGTTTTTGACTAATCATTATGAGCATGTCCCTCATGTCATTAAGTAGTCTTCAAAAATAAGATCATTTTAAATGCCTCATATTCCCTTGTAAACTGTGACCCCCTACTGTTACCTATGACACCTATTTCCTTTTTTAACCACATCTACCTGTATTCAAAGTCCATTCTCTATGGGCTTAACTTCTCTGTGCCTCAGTTCCCAGAGCTGTTGAACAGGGGCAATAATTATTTCTATTTTATAGGTGTTATGAGGATTAAATGAGTTCATATGTGTAAGGCAGTTGTAACATTTAACTTTCTATGTTAACACTGCGTTAGTTATCATTTATTAATATGCAAATGTTTTAAACATTCATTTTTCTAATTATAGAAGCATCGATTAATTTTAATTGTAGAAAATATTCATATGCACACAAAACATACATCAAACTGCTAAGGGTGGCTACCTAAGACAATGGAATTATCAGAGACTAACATTCCCCAATTTTTTAATTCAGATGAGTTTATCATATACATACGCACAAGATACGCACACTATTCTGAAACTTGACCTTCTTCCTTCATGATATATTCAAGACATCTCTCCATCACTTCTCAGCCTTTGGGCTAAGATCAAGTGTAGGATCAAGTGGCATCTCTCCGTGTAGGGACTGGATTGATTTTGCTTGCTCTTCTCGGCAGCTGTTTGATATTCCACTGCATGGCTGTGCCAGTTTATCTGAACGCCCCCTTAGGGAGGACCTTTTCCTCCAACGCTTTTGCTGTTCCAAACAATGCTGGACATTTTTACATGGACGTGATGTGAGTTTTTCTATAGGAGAAATTCCTAGACCTGGACTTACTAGCTCAATGGGTATGTAGATTTAAAGGGTTGTTTTTTTTTTTTTTTTCCCAATACTCATTGCCAAATAGCTCCCCACAAAGTCATACCAAATTAAACTCCCACCAGTGGGGTATGACGGTGCTTGTTTTCCCACCTGGAAATGAGTACAACAATGAGTATCATCCTAGGCTTTAATCTCCCTCAGTCTAGCAGGTGTAATCTATGCCTCTATCCCTCAGTCTAGCAGGTGTAATCTAATCTATGTCATTTTAATTTTCTTTGGATAGTAGTGAGGTTAAAACTATTTTCCTATGTTCAGTGATCATTTGTATTCCTTATACAAACTGCCTTCTCATTGCCCTTTACTGGCGTGTTTTTCTTTTGTGTCTTTTTTGTATTGATTTGTAAGTTCTGTCTAATATTAATGTAGCCAGACTCTATCTAGCACGGATGTTGCGCCTATTTTCTCTATTGATTTTTTTCAATCATTTTTCTCTCTGATCTTCAGACTGGATCATTTCTACTGATTTATTTCAAGATTATTGACTCTTCTTCTGTCATCTCTATTGTGCTAATAGGTTCATCTATGGAATTATTTTATTTCAGATATTGGTCTTTTATCCAGTTGGAAATTTCCATTTTTTCTCTATTTCTCTGCCATGAGTTCCTCTCTTCTCATTCATTATGAGCGCATTTCCCTTTATTTCATCGGGCATCGTTATAGAAGTTGCTTCAAAGTCTCTGTCTGACAATTCTGTCTGGCTTGTTTTGAGTTGACCTCCGTTGATTGTTTTTTCCTTTGAGGATAAATCACATGTTTTGGTTCTTTATATGTTGAGCCACTTTAAATTGTCCCCTGGATGTTGGGTATGTCTGAAGGCTGCTGTTTTGTTTCCGCACTCCACCTCCGGCAGACACAACCAGCTAACCATCTTCCCCTGCGGTGGGCAGCGACTGTCAGTTTAGTTCGGTTCTTTTTTTTTTTTTTTTTTTTGAGACAGAGCCTCAGGTTGTCGCCCTGGGTAGAGTGCCACAGCATCACAGCCCACAGCAACCTCCAACTCCTGGGCTCAAGTGATTCTCCTGCCTCCGCCTCCCAAGTAGCTCGGACTACAGGCACCCGCCGCAACGCCTGGCTATTTTTTGGTTGCAGCTATCATTGTTGCTTGGCAGGCCGGGGCTGGATGTGAACCTGCCAGCTCAGGTGTATGTGGCTAGTGTCTTAGCTGCTTGAGCCACAGGCGCCGAGCCTCTTTTGTTGTTGTTGTTGTTAATCAAACTGCTGATCCTGTTGTGTGTGGCGGGGTGCAGTAACCACTGAACAACAGTGCCCGGGTCTATTCGGTTCTTTCATCATTAGATGAATTACTGGTAGCCTGTCTCGTGCACCTGAAGTTCAGGGGTCACCCAGAGATGTGGGCGGTTTCCTTGGGTCTCTCTTTCAAGAACTCTCCCCTCACTCTCCACCAATCCAACTTGGCCCAGGCTGTTTCCTCAGGTCAGGAAGCTGTGGAGTCTTTCCTGCCCTGCACTGTTCCCCGACAGTGTCCTGTCCTTTGGACTGAGCCACAGAAAGCGCAGCTCACCCCACACTGGTGGCTTCCTCCCAGGTTTGACTTCTCTTGAAAATCTTCCTCTTTTGTTCACTCTCAGAGATTTGCCTTTTTAGTTGTTTATTTTTCAGAGTTTATCATTATATAGTTTCATCTATTACAAGTTTGTCTTCCATCCCAGGAATAGAGCTACCAGGTTTTTGTTTGTTTGTTTATATGTAACTTTAATACTTTTAGATAGTCAAATGTGTCGGTTTTTTCCTTTATGGCTTCTGAAATGGAAAGTCTGCTTAGAACTATCTTTGTCTGGCTCCGCGCCTGTAGCTTAAGCGGCTAGGGTGCCAGCCACATACACCAGAGCTGGCGGGTTCAAATCCAGTCCAGGGATGTCAAACAACAATGACTACAACTAAAAACAACCAACTACAACCAAAAAATAGCCAGGTGTTGTGGCAGGCACCTGTAATCCCAGCTACTTGGGAGGCCAAGGTGAGAGAATCTCTTACGCCCAAGAGTTTGAGGTTGCTGTGAGCTGTGACACCACAGCACTCTATCCAGGGTGACAGCTTGAGACTCTATCTCAAAAAAAAAGAAAAGAACTATCTTTGTCACCTTAGGACAGTGGTTCTCAACCTTCCTAATGCTGCAACCCTTTAATATAATTACTGTGGGTCATAACCCACAGGTTGCGAACCGCTGCCTTAGGAGTATAAAAAAAATTTTTTTGTTGGCTGGAAGTTGGATTTATGTTGGATTTATATTATCCCCAAGATGAACTGAAAACTGTCAAGGCAGTGTTCCTGGGGTTTCCATGGGTGTGGAGAGGAGGAGGGAAGAGTGCAGAATCAAGGGACCAAATGACCAAGACTCACTTTGGTGAGTTGGCTTTGCCTGGTGCAGGGTGAGCAAGGACTCACCGATTGAGACTCAGACAAAGAGCACTTGAGGACCGGCCTATGCCTTTCTTCAAGGCAGACCCTGCCAGACCTGTCATTCCTCTTGCAACCCCATTCATGTTCATCCCACACCAAATACAGAAGTGTGCCCAGGAGGGCACAGCAAGAAAGCTGCGTGGGTTTGCTGGCTGGGTAGCTGGCTCCAACCTACAGGGGTTCCCCTCCACCAGAAAGCGTGAAGCGTGAAGCGTGGAGCGTGAAGCGTGGCGGTCAAGGCTTTGGCCTTGGGGTTAGGTGTACCTGGGTCCACACTTTGACTCCGCCGTTGTTAGCTGCTTCATTTCCTTGAGTCTCAGTTTCCCCTTTTATGAAATGAGCGTCAAAAGAGTACCCGTTTCACAGCACTGTGAGGATTTCCACAAGGCGGGGCTCACCAAGGCTTAGCACAATCGCAGACCCAGGGTAAACTCAATAGATATCTGTCAGGGCACTGATCTGTCAGGGCAAAGATGTGGTGTTTTGCCACTCACCTGCTGTGTGGCCTTGGGCAAACTCTGCAGTCTCTGGTTCTGTCCACAGGAATTTCCATGTCTGGAATGAAGCCTGGTTTTTGCGGACTGACCTGGGTCCCTCGTATGGTGGCTGGCAGGTGTTGGACGCCACCCCTCAGGAAAGGAGTCAAGGTAACCCTGCACCGGCCCTTCCAGGGCACGGCCCTAAGTCGCGAGCCTCTCAGTCACTTACAGCAGTGGACAGCAGCATGGGGAAGTGACCCCAAAGCCCTCCTCATCTCAGGAATGCACAGTGGAGTTAAAGCCAAAATATTTTATAAAATAGATTTCCCCTTCTTATTTTGTTTGGCTCAAGCTGCTATTTAAATGAGTATCTTCTGTACACCTGCACTGGCTGGTGTTGCTGTGGCAGAGATGCCAGCAAGGGCCAGGCGACAAGGGAGAGAAACCTTCCTCTGCCAATGATGATTTCCCGTCCTGCCTCTAGCAGCGTGTCCCTCCCAGTGCAAAACCTTGCAGTTACTGGTTGCCCTGGGAGTTGGTCCACATTCCACACCGCTCCATGCTTCCCATCACCATCTGCCCAGCAGCTCCCTCTGCCAGCAGAGCTCTCCCTCAGGCAGGCCTGTGCCCCGTCCCAGACCTGTGCTCTACATTCTCTCCTCTCTGGCCCTTCTCTCCCACAGGGGTTGGACCCGGGCTCTCCAGGAGTCTTTCCTCTTCCCTTCTCTAATTTCTAGAGCATGCCTTGTCTGTTACCTTCATTTTGAGTGGCTGCTCTCAAATGTTAAAAAAAAAAAAAATTATAAAGTAATGTGTGCACACAGTCGAAAAGCATTCAACCTGTTCTAAAAGGACTTACAATGAGAATTGTCTTACCCGCCCCTCAACCGCTAGCCCCTAGATCAGAATCGATGGGCGTTACCAGATGTGGGGGTTGGGGAGTAACCTCGAAGATATTTTCAAGGCCACTATTGTTCAAAGTTTTCATTGCAGCCCATTAGTGGTTATAAAATCAACTTAGTGAGTTGTGACTATCATTTTAAGAAATGAAAATGGAATGGGGGGGAAAGGAAAATAAAATACCATGGCTCATTAGACAGTAACACTAAGGACTATAGTTCTGTGAAACTTTTGTTTCAGTATTACAAGGTGTCAAATGTATGTCTTTCTAGGGCTTATAGTAAAAAAGAAATTTTGAAAGTCACTGTGAATCTATCATCTATCTATCCATCCGTCCATCTTTCTATCTATCTATTCTATCTATCTATCTATCTATCTATCTATCTATCTATCTATCCATCCATCCATCCATCTGTCTCTCTATTCATCTATCCATCTTTCTATCTATTCATCTATCTATCTATTCATCTATCGATCTATTTATTTATCTAGCTATCTATCCCTCTATCTATTTATCTATCTATCCTCTATCTATCTGAGCTACCTAAGCTTGGGAGCTCAGAGGAGCAAGAGACTCCTGTGGACTGGGCATTCGGGGAATTCTTCCAGTAATAGGGGGATGTTGACCTTCTAGGCCAAATAATTTGCAGAGCTAGAAAAGAGGCATCCTGAGCTCAAGATAGCAAGACTTTTAAGAAACAGACCAAGGACAGTGGGTGAGCACAGACTAGGTATCCACAGAGTGCAGGATTGAGCCCGTATCGTGGTAAGGCAGAGTGACTAGGGTGGCATTACAGAAAGATAACAATAGCTGAGGAGGGCCCCTGGTGAATGCCAAATGAGGGAGGGATGGGGAGGGGTGGAGGGTGGCTATGGAAGGCCCTCAGAGGAGTGGGTCCTGTGTGAGCTTTTGTGGGCAGACCTGGCCTTGGCATATATCCAACCTGTGCATCCTGGCCACTAGGGGTGTTCCAGTGTGGCCCTGCTTCAGTCCACGGGGTCCGAGAGGGCGACGTGGACCTGCCATTCGACATGGCCTTCCTCTTCGCGGAAGTTAATGCTGACCGCATCAACTGGGTTGAAGACAGTAGCACCGGCGTGCAGAGAAAGACTTCTGTGGATACTCATTCCATTGGCAAGTACATCAGCACCAAGGCAGTGGGCAGCTACTCTCGCATGGACGTCACGGAGAAGTACAAGTTCCGAGAAGGTAGGAGCGATGCTGAAGGGGCAGTGCCACACGGTGACCCATGGCGGGAGGACGGCTTCGAGGGTGGAGAGGAGAGAAGGCCTCCTCCTCCTTCGTACTCTCAGCTAGTTCTGTCTGAATGATAAGATGCTCCCTGACATCTAATGCCAACTCCCAAGATTGCTTCCAGGGGAAACAAAGCTACCATGGCCAGCCACAGTGCCAGTGGTAGAGGTTTGCTGCCTGGCATAGGTAGTTCATCTCCAGCTTGTCCCTTTCTCAGTTGCATAACTGGGGTGACAGCATCATGGTTGAACATCACGGAAAGAGACATAGACCCTGTGCAAGGCCCTCAAGGGCTTTGCGTGAGATTATTTAGCTTCAGTTAGCCTGCTCCCCTAGCCTCCCTAGACACAGGCAGAAAACATCATCTGAACAAAGAAATGTACCCAGAACATGAGCCTGTGCTATGTGCACTCAGAGGCCTCCTAAGAAGCCAGATGAGGTATGATTACCTGAGGGGGAGAATGCCCAAGTCCCTGAAATCTCAGGTGTCTGCACAGGTGCTGGGCCCCTCAAAGTCATCTTGAAAAGCCAGTTGCTATGAGGCTGCCTTTACTCAAATTGCATTTGTTTCTTGGAAGTTGCTTTTGGAACCATCATCATATCTCTTTGATGAAGACAATTCTCCATTTGAATATGAAGTTCATTTTTATTTTTATTATTTATTTATTTTTTTATGGAGACGGAGTCTCACTTTGTCCCCCCCAGTACAGTGCCATGGTGTCACAGGTCACAGCAACCTCAAACTCCCGGGCTCAAGCGATTCTCTTGCCTCAGCCTCCCAAGTAGCTGGGACTACAGGTGCCTGCCACAACACCTGCCTATTTTTTAGAGACAAGGTCTCACTCTGGCTCAGACTGGTTTTGAACCTGTGAGCTCAGGCAATCTGCCCACCTCACCCTCCCAGGGTGCTGGAATTACAGGCGTGAGCCACCATGCCAGACTGAAGTTCATTTTTAGAGCTTTCTCTAGCTGGGCCAGTTACTCTTTAATGGGGGTCAATATTTCACTCTTTCTAAAATGCTTCAAAATAGTTCATTCCATTGATCTTCATTATTGGTTTTGAGGAGTTAAGAACAATATTCTCATAAAGGTTCCCACAGTACCCCCAAACTGAGCCCCAAATCTCTGAGTAGCTACCAGCTGTCATTGGTGGCTGAAGTTTACACAAGAGGAAAGCTTAGTATAGGAGATGGCTCTGACTCCAAGTCCAGGAGCGTGACCACTCTGGGGACTGGTATTTGTAGACATCAAAATGTCTACAAATTTCTATTTTTAGTGGAGATGGGGTCTCACTCTTGCTCAGAGTGAGATGGGTGGGTGAATTGCTTGAGCTCAGGAGTTCAAGACCAGACATTTTGACATCCACAAATACCATTTTGACACCCAGGGTATGAGATTGGTACAGTCTGCCTCTGTGGGCCATTTCCAAAGTTGAGGTCAGATGGACCTTCTCCTAGGCAGTCTGAGAACACTGCAGATGGGGCCGGGGGGTGGGCTGAAGTATTTTCAACAATGCCATGATGTAGAACAAGTGTACTGAGCCAGGAGTGGAAGGTGAACCCCAGTCCTACCACTCGTACATGTCAACTCAAGCACGTTTCCTAGGGTCTCTGGTCCCTCATTTCCTCACTGGTAAAATGAGAATAGGAATGCCTGTCTTCAGTGGGACTTAAAGGAGCCCATCATACAGAGTGCCCAGTGTGATGCCCCGGTGTGTAATAAGGACTTAATAGCCGTGATCTTTACATCTATAGCGTCACTGAAACAGTGACCTTCCAAGTGCCTATTTTGCAGGCACTGCTTACATGGAGGTACGACCCTGTGGGGTTCCTTGCATTACTTTTACACCTTGATCCTACTTCTTGGAGCCTCTGGCTGTCCCCGCTAAGCCTCCTCCCCAGTGGAAGAGGGGCCAGACATGGCCAGGTTGGGGGGATCCTTACAGGACTCCTGGCAATGCCCCAGGCCCTACGTGACAGCAGGACAGATCATTTGCCTGCTGTTGCCCAGCTCTTCTTACCTCATGATACTAGCTTGTCTCTGAGGGCCCCAGGGGGGAAAAGCTCATAAAATGGGTTGCTACGCATTGACGCGATGCCAATAGCAAAGGGAGAAAACAGGAGCAGGAAGCTTCGTCTTGAGTAAGCCCGGCAGGTGACCTATATAGGCATGGAGGCTCCAAGCCTCATTGTGCAAACACATCTGCTTCGAGATCTCAGGCACGGAAGCCTCAGGTCTCTGCACAGCCTTCAGCTCTGGGTGTGGAATTTCAACTCCATTAGAGGATGGGAAGGCGCTCAAAGGAACCCAGCCCACCAGGAGCTGTCAGTGTAGGTAATCTGGCGGCTGCCTCCTTTTTAGCAGGGTGTGTGGGAGAAACCTTAGAAACATTAGATCGGGATCCAGACATCCCCCACCCCACTCTTTCTCTGCCTCTAATCCTCAGAGTGGTCTGGATTGGTTGCTTCTCTTCTTAGGGCCTTCACTCTAATGTGATGACCTTGGATTAGCTGGCCTCTGAAGTCTACGCTGGGTGTTATATGTTAACTTATGGGAAAAGGCTCAGTGAGTTGCAAATTGCTTATAAGAAGCACCTAAATATTGTCCAGGTTGGTTGGGAAGGTAGAGGACTGGAAGTGTGGCTGGCCTGCAGACATACAGGTGGTCACTCTTCCTGGTATGCCTAAGTCTTTGCTTCTGGAAGGGTGTCGCAGTCTCTCTGCACCAGATCATCTTCGGCCCCAGACAGGAGGTCATGAGGACGGCTCAGCCAGCCTGGCTCCGAGGCTCACAGGCGGTTACTCAGCACTCAGTGCTGCCCCACATGCTGTTTGAGTGCAGGGCACTTACACCACCACCTTCAGCACCACCCACAGCCTGAGCCAGCCTGTCAGAAACCTCATTCTTTCATTCAGGCTTTGCTTTTGGGAAACCTGGTATCTGTCAGCAAGTTGAACTAGTCATAACTTGGAAACACAGCAGCTGTGAGAAGTCCTTGTTGACCAGCATAGACCCAAGTGTCCCTCTTTGACTCTTAAAGCACCTTTAGAAATAAGGCTGAAGAATCTGGTGAAGTGTTTTGAACATTTGTTAAAATGAAATCAGTTCTGACTCATAACCTTGCTTTTTTGCTTATGAATTTCTTCTAATCCTTTTCTGCTTAATTTGTGTTATTTATTTAAAAATCATGTTTGTTCTTCAAGCCTCACTAGACCTTTTACCAGAAAAAGAAATCTAATTTGGCTGGACCTGTAATCCTAGCACTCTGGGAGGCCGAAGCAGGTGGATTGCTTGAGCTCAGGAGTGTAAGACCAGCCTGAGCAAGAGTGAGATCCCATCTCTACTAAAAATAGAAAAACTAGCCAGCGTTGTAGCAGCACCTATAGTCCTTGCTACTCAGGAGGCTGAGGCAGGAGGATGGCTTGAGCCCAGGAGTTTGAGGTTGCTGTGAGCTATGATGCCATGGCACTCTACTGAGGTCAATAAAGTGAGACTCTGTCTCCAAAAAAATAATATAATCTAATTAACACAAGCCAACAATCAAGCCATGCAGTAATGTACAGGTACTGATAAAGATTTGTCTACATTTGCAGTGTTTTTAACCTTTTCTATCTGACGGCACACTTGAACCTATAGTTAAACTTCCATGACACACTTAAATTATGTTGATCAAAAAAAAAAAGGAGTGAAAAATAAGAATATGCTTACTGTGCTTTAAACTGATTTTGAAAATAATTTAATTAATGGCATTTAAAATTGTTTCCAGCACACCTAGGATCTTCTCACAGCACACTGGGTGAATTTCACTGCTCTATGGAGTCTCAATTTAGAACTGATAGGAAAAGTACCAGAGACCAGCTGGTTTGCGAGTCTCAGGTTAAGGAGGGTGAAATGGAAACCTGAAGTGGTCAGATGCTTACATGGATCCGCAATGAGGGGCAGTGGTGGAGCCAGCATTGGTCCCAGGTTGTCTTTCTGGGCCAGACACTGCCCTGTGCTCAGGTGGCCACCACCTCCCTGAGATGCTCTGTCTTATCCCACCACACAGGTTCTCCCCAGGAAAGACAAGCATTCCACAAAGCTCTAGGGAAACTTAAACCCAGTGCATCATTTGGCCCAACATCTTGGGGGGGTTTGGAATCAGAGGAAGAGGTGCGCAGCATCGCTGGGCAGTTCAAGGTCACTGGCATACTGGCAGTGGGCAAAGAAGTCAGCCTAGTCCTGCTGCTGAAAAACACGACCAGCGATGAGAAGACAGTGACAGTGAACATGACAGCCTGGACCATAGTCTACAATGGCACACTTGTGCACGAAGTGTGGAAGGATTCCGTCACGAAGTCCTTGGGCCCCGAGGAAGGTAACTTTGTCCTGCAGTTGGTGGGAGTTCATGAATCCAAGGCATTTAATGGTCTGTTGGGGTTTCAGGTTAGTCAGCTGGCTAAGGATGGAGTAATGAGCAGCCCCAGGGTTAAGCCTTGGGTTCTCATGCTTTGCAAGTGGCTGTCTCCATGAACAGTGCAATCCAGGGCGGTGCCACCTAATAAAATCCTTTTATGCCCTGGGGGAGGCAGGAGGGAGGCTTTGGCAGTTCCCCTCGTGGCACGATATCCTTTACAGGTGTATACCACCTGCCACTGTTTGCAGAATGTGTCCTGATATACCAGCACATTTGACCTTCTAAACAAGGGTTGATTTCAGCATCCATTTTATAGGGGCAGAAAGTGAAGCTTAGAGAGATTTGTGACTTGTTTAAGACATTAAGTGTCCTTGCTAGTAAGTGACAAATGCTGGTCCTAGGCTTCCTTATGCTAATCCAGGGCCACCCCCATTTTCTATGTTGTTGCTGCCACCCTCTCCCAGCCACTCCAGCTCCACAAGTCACTTCTCAGGTCTGACTCTGGAAGGGTGGGTGGAAATAACCACATGCCCCATGTCCCTCACAGCTGCTAGGGGTGGGTGGAGTTAGAGGTCTGAGCTTTGGGGAGGGACAGCGACTCCTTGCTCCTGGGTAGCAGGGATGGGAAGGGAACAAGGAGGGGCAGAGAAAGGCTGGTGCCGTGCATGGGATTAGAAGGCAGGTGTGCCTACATTGACAAAGTCCTTCCAGCTGTGATGAAAAAGCATGGACTTACAAAGCAGATTAACCAGGGTGGGGTGGCTATTTGCTTCACATAAGGAACTGATAGAAACTGATTAATTATACAGCCCATCTTGAAAGAATTTTGTCTGTGGAGAAACTGAGGTGTCACATCTGTCAGAGGACAGCATCCCTATGGGCAGTCTGTCTTCTGGCAGAATTTGAGCAGAAATCTTCTCAATGTCAGAAGGAACTGCCTGGCTGTGATTTACTTTTGAGGCTCAAAAAAAAAAAAAAAAAAAAAAAGAGCTGTTTTTGAAGGTCAAAAAAGTCCACAGAAGCAAGCTGAGCACAGTGGCTCACACTTATAATCCTAGCACTGGGAGGCAGAGATGGGTGGATTGCTTGACCTCAGGAGTTTGAGACCACCCCAAGCAAGAGCAAGACCCCAGCTCTACTAAAAACAGAAAAAAAAAAAAAAACTAGCTGGATATTGGGGCAGACATCTGTAGTCCCAGCTACCTGGGAGGCTGAGGCAAGAGGATCATTTGACCCCAAGAGTTTGAGGTTGCTATGAGTTAAGATGATGCTATGGTATTCAACTCCAGGGCAACAGAGTAGGACTTTGTCTCAAAAAAAACAAATTTAAAGAAGGGAAATGGTTTTTTAAAAAAAAAAAAACAAAAAACCCAATACTATATCCTTTTGCAAGAGACAGCAGAGTGGACAGGGAAGGAAGGGGGAGGCAGGTGAAGTGTCCTACAGTACTACGCCCCATGCATACTTGTTCAGTGGCCCTCGGTAAGTCTCCCTCCCTTTCTGAGCCCAAGAGTTGGGTAGCTGATGCAAGGCTCTGTCCTCTCTACCTTCAGAGCAGCCGTGGCCAATTCTTCCAATGCTAAAGGCAGAGGCAGCTCCCTTTTCCCAGTTTTACCTAAAAGAGCATGTGACACCCCTGGGGAGGAGCCACATAGATGGAGAGAAGCAGGGGGACAATGTGAGTGTGAGCGTGGGGCTGAAAAATGCCCATTTTGCCTGAAGAACAGTGAGCGGCATTGAGGGCTCCTTTAGGGGAGAAATGGGGTGGCTGCGGTGGTGCAGGGCGAGGGGAGGGGTCTGAACTTCATCCCTAAGGCAGTGAGGAGCCGTGGAGGACTTTCGAAGTGACATGAAAAAAGACTGACATGACTTAGGGAAAAACCCAAACCTAGTCTGGCTGGTGTGTGGACGGTTTAGCAGCAGGAGGGACCCCGTGGGGCAGGGTGGTCTGGGATGCCATTGCAATAGACGCTCCGGTTATTAAACAGCCGGGAAGATCCTGGTGTTTAGCCAATACTCTGGCCTCCCATGCTGCCTGGGGTTGTGTTATCTCCAGGATTGCTATTGTCACTAAGCAGTCAGCATTTGTGTTCTTCCCCTACCCCTTAGAAGGACACTTGCCCCCTGACATTTTCCGGGGTGGGGGGGTGGCGGGGGACAGGAACGAAGCACCATGTCCTCCTGCGAATCTGCCCAGCCAGCCAGCATCCTGGGCTTGCCACCAGCATGCCCGGGCTTGGCGTCAGTTCTGAAGAAGGTTCAGAACCCATCCCCACTCCCTCTCACTCTGCTCCCTTGCTCCTTCCAGAAGCGCAGTACCCCGTGAAGATCTCCTATGCGCAGTATGACAGGCACCTGAAGGCCGACAACATGATCCGGATCACAGCCGTGTGCAAGGTTGACAATGAGGCTGAGGTGGTGGTGGAGCGGGATGTCATCCTTGACAACCCCACCCTGACCCTGGAGGTAAAGAGATGGGGGCCCTCAGTCCGTGCAGCCCCCCCAATCCTCTGCCTTCCACAAAGGAAGGTCCTTTCCTACTGGGAAGGACAGAGAACTGGGCCCAGCTCCAGTCCAGCTTCTGCCAAGTGGACCAGCCAAGAACTCCCATTCAGGCGAGATCAATGGGCACATTCACCTGGCAGCTTCTTTGGTTCTCATTCCACGCCCTCTGGGGATGTCAGCTGAGGAAGGGCTGCAGGGAGCTCATTCGCCAGCCACTCCGCGGCTGAGCGTCCTTTGTGTGCTGGGCCCTGCCAGGTTCTGTGTGCCACAGACAGGAACAGGTGTAGGGCTGCCATGGCAAGCTGCTGAGTCCCTCCAGGGCCACAGCACAGACCCTGTTCGTGGCCAGATCAGAAACGGCCAACCCATGTGCACCCCTGTCACCCTAGAGCAGTGGTTCTCAACCTATGGGTTGCAACCCACAGGAACTGTGTTAAAGGGCCGAGGCTTTAGGAAGGTTAAGAACCACTGACCTAGAGTTACAGAATTGTGGACTCCTAGGAGCTGAGTCCCATACCTCTGTGCCTTGTCATTTCACACATGCGTACACCAAGGCTCAGAGGGAAGGGGCAGCCGGGTACTGTCAGAGCCAGGATTCCCAGGCATCCTGGCACATTGGTAGCAGCAGCAGCAGCAGCTTCAAAGAGGCTGAGAACAAGGACTCCTCTTTTTCTGCTTTTAGGACCTACTTTTGTTTGCAGGCTTGATTGCCAAGCATGTGGGTTGTGCAGGTCTGTGGGAGACCCCTGGTGCTACTCTGTCCCTTCCTCAGCACCCAGGGGGAACCCCTGTGCTCACCTTCCAGCCCCTGGGTCCAAGCACCCCCCGCCCTGGGTGGATGATGCCAGAACTAGGTGGCACAGATCTGAGGGCTCAGAGGCTAGACAAGGACAGGCAAACAGATGGGCAGAGAAGACGGTGTCTTCCCCTGGGATCCACCCTCATGCATTAGGCCCTTCTCTTATCTGATTCAGCCACCATCTGCCCCAGCTGTCTCAACAGGAATTACCTTTGCTTTCTAATCACATGCAACGAGCTTCCCAAGCCCCAGATGATTAGAGAAGCCAGGAGAATCATGGCTGCCCTGTCCTGCCCCACCTGTCCCTGAACTACAGCCTGGCTGCAGGGGCTCTTGTCCTCAGAGAGCACGGGAGCTGAGGGTGTTAGCTCTGATGCAGTTCAGCTCTCCGTGAAGCTAGCCCGTGATTATACCCTTTCCCTGTCCTGATTAGTCTGGACCGTGCTTCACAATGGAAGAGTTGGTCCCCCAGCTTAGAGCCTAGGGAGCCAGTTTGGGGGCAGCAGAGAGACAGCAGATCAGACCTGGGTCCATGTAACTGAATGGACCTGGCATTGACTTTAACTCCTCCATGTGTCAGCAGTAACACTGAGCAGGTCTCTTAATCTGAGTCTCAGTTGCTCCAACTGTCATAGGGATAGTAAAATACTTCCCTCGCACATGCCCTCAAGGATGCTTTTCCTGACCCTTCAGATTAGGCCTGCACCCAGATATACACCCTCAGAAAGGTCTTTCCTTTTCATGGCATTTGTCCCAGCTGAAAGAACACCTTGCTTTGTGCAGTGATGTGATTGTTGTCCACTATCCTGCTATAACTCCACAGTGAGTGTTACCTCTGTTCTGGGTTCATCACTGTCTCCCTTGGAACGGTATCTTAGTAGATAGTCAATATTTGTAAAAGTGAAACAGCCCCCTCCTTGGGGCAACCCTGAACACAGCTTCCTGTTCTGGGCTTGCATTCTTCCCACCCCTAGGAGAGTTATCATCGTGGGTCCCCACTCGTCCCCTGCATGTGAAAGCCTCTTCTGTTTCACTCCCCATCTATTTAACACCATGGATGGCCTAGGGCCCATTCCAACTCCTGAGGCTAGAAAATGATACTGGGTGGCGGCCAGTTCAGTTATGAAAATATTCTGCATTAAAATGATCAATGGTCAAATAAAGTTAGTTTTTCCTCATTATATTCCCTTACCCAATATCCTCAGACCTTCTACAGGGTTCTCTTTTATTCAGCACCGTGGCTCTGCATCTTTTGGATTTCCACAGCAAGTCTAATTTATCTTTAAAGACACTGTAATATCTTTAGAAAGGAAATCAGGACACATACAGGCTAAAAATGTGCCATCATAAACTCTTTTATTTAAGCCTTTAAAAAGACTCCCGATCCTCCTCCTTGTAGGCACCTTCTCGCCCATCATTAAGCCTTCCGAGAATCAAGACAGTCTTGCCTTGAATGAACCAACGCAGAGCTCTCTCAGAGCAGGCCACAGAGTTTTCAATTCGGGAAAATGATCTGTATAAAAAGATAATAATCAGGGTAAAACCCCATGATCTCATCTGGCACCAGTTGGCAGTTAGCCTTGAGGACCTTAGACTATAGAATCAGATCATAAAATCTGAACCTGGTTGCAAAGGGTGATGTCCTTCAAAGTGACCCATGACCTAACACACAGGTTATAAGGGACTCCTCTCTCTCCTCTCCTATAGGAGAGGCTGCTAAGCAGCAACAAAGAAAGATAAACAAATGCAAAGCGATCTCCAAGTAAATATCCATATGGAAAATAGGGCACCATTGCTGTAGCTTTGTTCTATCCCAATAGCATAAAACTATGCTTTGCTCTTCAAATTATGTCATACATTCAGGTGACCTCCACAGGAGAGGCTATGGCCCAGATCATAGTCTCTAAAATGTTTCAGTTATTCACAAATTATTTGTAGGTATTGCAGGGCATAATGAAAAAAGCAAAGGCTTTGGAACCACTCAGGCCCTGCTTTTTCCGAGTGTGTGAAATTTCCACGTTGTTGAATCCCTCTGAGCATCAGCTTTGTCCCTATAAAATGGTTGCTCTGAGGATTGGCAGTAAGAAAAACCAAAGCAGCCTAACACAAAGCAGCATCCTCCAGCGAGCCTCACAGGAAGAAAAGAAATCCATCAGCCAGCTAGAAATGTTCGTTTCTGTCTCCCAGATGCCTTCTTCCCTGTCCATGATCTCACCTGGTCCCGTCTAGGAGGGAAGGGTGCCTGTTCCCCTTCGTCTAATGAGGAAGTTGAGGCCTAGAGAGGAGACTTGTCTGCCCAGAGACCAGGCTGTGCCTTGGCAAAGTGCAGCAGCTCCCGTCTTTGTGTCTGAACACAGTTGTGGTTGCTTTTTTGACGCCAAATCCAGACTTCACCTTCTCTGACTCCAACCAAGGACAGTGCAGCTATGGTGTGAGCCAGGAGGCCTGTGACCACCATCTTCAATGCTTGTGGGGAGGTTTTAAGGAAAGAAATAGGATTTATGAGCAGAAAGTTAAGGAAAGCAATGTTGTTAATGCAGCATGAAGAATTTCCCAGCCCTCAGAGTCCCCAGTGGAACTGAGCTGTCCTGGGAGGCAGGGGCTGCCCTTCCCTGGATGAGCCAGAGTTGGGCAGGGACGTCACGGTGCTCTGGGCACTGCAGTGTGCCCCTTCTCCCTCTGGCCCCAGGGTCACTGTGCACAGTGTGAGATGATGGTAATGTCCTAGCAACCCACTGTGTGGATTGGGAGGCTCTCTGATGCAAGGTGGTGGCACTTAGCAGGCGTAAATAAATGGCCCTCCCTTCCTCTGTCCTCAGTGATAGCCTGCCCTTTACCAGTCACCCCTGCCTAGCTTTCATTAAGTGGCAGGCAGGGCTGATCACTGGGGTCCTGACTGGGCACCCTTCCTCTCGCAGGTGCTGGACCAGGCGCATGTGCAGAAGCCAGTGAACATACAGATGCTCTTCTCCAACCCCCTGGACGAGCCAGTCAAGAACTGCGTGCTGATGGTAGAAGGGAGCGGCCTGCTGCGGGGCAATCTCAGGATCGAGTGAGTCCCTGGCCTGATTGGTTAGGGGGGGTGGGGCAGTGGCAGGGGGCAGCAGGAGCCTGTGAGGCCCCTGGGCAGTGTAGACAGAGCTCTCTTTGGTCTTAGATTCTCTTTGGGGGGCTCTTGGAACTCAAGCATCTGCCTTTGCATTTGGTTTTGGGGTTTACCAAACTTGAACTCCTGGGAAGTCCAGGTCACCAGAGTTAAGAGCTGGCCCTCAGAGCTAAGACTATTTGGGAGATCATGGGAGCCCCCTTCCCAAACCCCTGCTGTCCTAGGGCTGGAGGGGCCTGGTGACCCAGGGAGGCAGCTAGAAGGAGCTAAAGAATCTGAGCCCCCACCCTAGAAGGAAATGAGGCCACAGAGGCCCATCTAGTCCAACACATGTGCCTCTCACATCAACACTGACCTGTGCCCTCCCCATCAGTGTACCAACCCTGCGCCCCAAGGAACGGTCCCGGGTACGTTTTGAGATCATGCCCACCAGGAGTGGCACCAAGCAGCTGCTCGCTGACTTCTCCTGCAACAAGTTCCCTGCCATCAAGGCCATGCTGTCCATTGATGTGGCTGAGTGAAGGGCCCCAGTGGCCCCCTGTACAAACTTGGGTAACACGGAGCAGGGAAGGATCGCCTATGGAGTGAGACCCCTGCCCATGCTGTCCAGCCTGGAAAACCCACTCTGTCCCCCAAGACTGCTGGATGTGGACCTCCAGTCTCCAGCACACACTCCCTTCCCCCTCCCCCAGGTTGGCACTGGGACCACCCTGGCCCATGACTTGATCACTTTTGCACATTCCCTGGCTGCTTCTGGGCGCCCTGCTCATTCCTCACACCCTTCAACGCTGCAGGACGGACCCACCCTGGACCCAGGGACTCTCCAGATGGATACAGGCCAGAAGCTGGCCTAGACCATTTCCTCATTTGCAGCCTGCATTTGGGGCATTCCAGGGGGTGCCCAGTCACCTGCCACAGCATCCACACCCTCACACTCAAAATAAATGTTAAACAAGTGCAACCACATGGCACCGACTCCGCCAGACTGCTGTTTCCCCTACAGTGGTGAAGGAGAGAGGTTGCTGGGGTCACCCCTTCTGGAGAAGGGATGAACTTGGTTGGAGGTGGGCGTGTTCCCTGTGTTACAGTGTCCAAAGGGAGTCAGCTTGCTCTGCATGACTCCAGGTGCAAAAATAGGAAGACATTTCAAGTCGCTTTAGGAAAACTTTCCGATATGTCCAAAAATAGACGAGGTCACCTTGGGAGACAGTGCTTTATCTCAGTAGGCTTCAGTCATTCTCTGTGTGGCCAGGCAAATTCTTTTAGGGCTGTTCTGCACGCTTCAGTGTGAGAAGGGACTGCTGGAACCCCCAGCAGAGCAGGCTATGGGTGGTGGCCCAGCCTCTGCTCTACTCTTCTTTGCAGCCAGGCACCAATGTGTGCTGGCCATGCACAGCCACCTCAACCGGAATCTTCTCTGCCTTTGTACACACTCTGATGGGTCTTCTGCCTCTGCCCCTTCGAATAACCTCAGGCAGATCCTGTTAGCTTTCCTGCCACTTATGTGATCTAATTCTGTTTCCCGCAACTCTATCTCACTTTCTGAATTGAAAGGGACCAATTCCATCTGGACAGAAACCTTAACCTCACATCCTGCTCAAAGCCACTCTCCTATGCTCAGCTCAGTCCTTGCCCTTGCTTACAAAGGAGGCTCTGTTCACTTCTCATCTACCTTCCCTTCCTCCTTTCCTTTGCCTGATCCTTCAAAGTTGGAGCAAGGAGAGAGTCAGAAGAAAAGTGGCAATCCTGTGTTTCACTGGTGCCGATGTAACGTGGCCAACACGCTCGGCGTGGCCAGTGTTTAAATGCAGACTTTCTGTACTGCTTGTTGCCTGATGCAGACAGCACAGCCCTCAGCTAGGGTCCCTGGAGGTACACGCACTTCACCACCTCCAACTGCCCTGGAAGGAGTGGCACTTTCATGGTGGCCCGGTTCCCTTTTATGAGGTCCACTGACCACAGGAAGTTCACATCTTGCCCCATCTGACAGGGGCTACAGTTGTCAGTCTTATTAAGTCCCACCCTTACACATTTGAAGACAAATGCAATTCTGTCTAAATTAGGCACTGCCTCTTGAGAATGCTTCCTACGTGTCAGGCCCTGCACCACATGCTTTATATACAGTATCTCATTCAAGCCTCCCGACACTGCTATGGGGCAGATGCTTGCCCCCCCCCCACCCCTTGTTACCATGTGGGAAGTTAAGGCTCAGACATGTTAAGTCATTAGAGCAAGATGATAGAGCCACAAAGTGCAGCAGTTAGTATTCAAACCCTCTGTCCACCTTCAGAACCAAAGCCACTATGTTAATGTACCAGACACTTCTGGTGGCCTCTGGTCATTGCTCCTTCTTTCTTACTCATTGGACACTGGTTCTTTGTCTGGGGTCCAAAAGTCAATGTGACCCACCTCAGATTGCCCCTCACGGCAATCCTCTTCCCCTTTGCCAGGGACAAAAGGGTGGACATGTGACCTCATCCTCCCAGTGGGATATAAGGGAAGTTTTATGACAGGATTTTGGGAAAGATTTTCCCTCTGAATTAAGGAAAAAAAAAAAAAACCTGGCCCAGCATTAGCAATAGACAGACCCCATCTCTACCCCAAATAAAAAATTAGGCAGGTATAAGTGGCTCACACCTGTAGTCCCAGCTACAAGAGGCTGAGGCAAGAGGCTCACAGGCCCGGGAGTTTGAAGTTACAGGGCCAAAAAAAAAAAAAGCCCTGCCCTTTTTTCTTTGAATAGGATCCTGAAAAGCAGGTGTCTGGAGCTGTGACAACCATTCTATGAGCATCACAGGAAGACAAAAAGAATAGAGAAAAGTGACTCAGAGCTCTGACATTGAAGAGACATTGAATTAATCAAACTCTAGATGCATTCTTAAGTGAGATCATACCTATTGTTTAAATCACTTTTAGTTGGGCTTATTATACTTACAGCTTCCTGTTTTAGCTGTTGTTTTATTGAGGCCTTCAGAGACAAAGGATCACAGCCCCCACCACCAAGGAGCACCTGGTTCAGGGAAGGTGCTGACCTACTGCGCTCCCGTCCTTCGGCCTCCATTCAAAGCCTGGCTCCATTGCCTCCCAGGTTTAGGAGCTTGGTCTTACTATTTAACCTCTCTTCCCTTGGTTTTTCTGTTTTGTAAAATAAGCATAATAACAGAACCTATCTCATGAGGATTTAATACACCTGGTGTATGCTAGAAGCAAAATAAATATCATGGTAGCAGAGTATTGGCAAAGATGATCACAACAATTTCTCCCATCCCCATAAGCATGCCCCTGTTATTGAGACTTTGTCATTCCTTCCCATCGGGAAATAGGGTCTGTTTTCTACTCCTTGGGTCAGAGCTGGCCCCTTGACTTGCTCTGGCCAATAGAACATGGTTAAAGAGAGGTTGTGTGAATTTCAAGGCCGAGGCCTCAAGAGGCCCATGTGGTCCTGTCCTCGCTCCTTTGGAACACTGTCCCGATATCGCTACGTGAAGAAGCCTGCCCCATTCTGTGTTAGCTGTGGATGGGAGTCACTCAGGACAGTTCAGCTGGTTCAGCTGCAATCAGGCTCCATCTTACCTTTAAGGCTGGGCATGTTCTTCCTAGGTAGCCTCAGGCAATTACTGCGCCACTAGGGGAACCCAGGGCCTGATGATTTCTGCCTGACATTGGGTTCCTCCTAGTGGGCAATTTTTGCTCTGGATCTCCTTGTTGGGTTGGCTGAGACTCTGTCAGATCTGCATTACAACCCGTGGCTCTCCTCAGCCCAAACTTGCTTTCTCCACTTTTTATCTTTTAAAGGCATTATCCCCCAATAAACCTCTTAAATTCCTAACTACATCTCGTGTCTATTTCCTGAAGGATTCATCTGACAGCTGGTACCAGCAGTGGCATAAGAAAGCCCCTAGTAATTTAGGGCTTTAGACTGAATCACTCTCCACCCAGAAAGGGCCAGCAAGAGCCCCTTCTTCATCCCATATCATCCCAGGTGACATGAATGAGAACATTGGGGTGAATGCCCAGGGAGATTTTGGATCCCCAGACTCCTCTGGACCCTCAGAACTTACATAGGTGACTGGTTCCCTTCCAATTAAGATCCAGTAACCACCCCCCTGCCCCATGTGGGAAGACATTGAAGAACCCTCTCCCCTGCAAGACAAAAAGAGCCACACTCAGGACCCATTTATGCCTGTTCTCTTGGCTTCCAGGCTGATAAATAATGTTAACCTGTGGGGCCAGGCATGGTGGCCCACGCCTGTAATCCTAGCACTCTGGGAGGCCAAAGCGGGTGGATTGCCTGAGCTCGTGGGTTCAAGATTAGCCTGAGCAAGAGCAAGACCTCGTCTCTAAAAATGACTAGGCATTATGGTGGATGCCTGTAGTCTCAGCTACTTGGGAGGGTAAGGCAAGGGGATCGCTTAAGCTCAAGAGTTTGAAGTTGCTGTGAGCTATGATTCCATGGCACTCTGTCAGGGGTGACAAAGTGAGACTCTTTTTCAAAAAAATAAAAATTAAAAATAAAAAAAGTGTTAACTAGTGGCATAACTCAGCTGTGGGTATATATCATATCTGATAAGGGAATAAGTGAACTGTAGTCCAGAGGAGCTGGGGGAAAAAATAGCCATTATGTGATGGTAGGATCAGGGAAGTATTCTGGGAATGGATTTCAGGATATTTAATCAAGAGAGCTGGAATTTTAGTCTGAACAAGAAAGAATTTATTGACTTGCAGTCAGTCATTTGTGATGCAGGATTTAATACCCTGGGAACTGGTACAAACTTGTAGCTTAGTGGTTCCAAATGTCTGGAAAAAAATCATGCCTTATGCTGCATATAATTCAAATGAATAATCACAGTGCATGGGGCCAGGAGGCAAACTGCCCAAAGGCTTGTGATTAATCAGAGGGCCCAGAGGACACCCCCCCACCCACACTCATCAAGGCCATCAGGAGTAAGCCAATGACAGAGGCATCATCATTACTGAGAAATTTAGTGGTGCATCATCTACATTTTAAAACACAAATAATAGCAACATTCTAGAAGTAAAATGTATAATGGCCAGGAAGGGGGAGATTAAAGTATATTGATGTAAATTT